CTCTCTTGTATGTACTACACATCCATATATTGCATGTACTAATTTTTCGAGCCATAAAAATTCATATTTTCAATGTGCCCGAAGGAGGTCAGGATTTTCACCGGAAAAAGTGTAAACCCTATGAATAAACCGCGGGTCAAGCATTTACGTGGGACCCATGCAGCAGTCCAAGAAGCGTTGCAGTCGACACCACTCACCACGTTCGTGCAGGTGCAGCCGCATCTCCAGGTCCAACGGTTGCCCCTCCTCTCCTGCGTCACCCGCTCTCTATCCGGCCACCCCGCCCAAACCCACCGCCACGCCGCGCGCCTACCCAGCCCCCACCCCTCCTCCGCTCTACCGCAGTGGAGTGGAGCTCCACTCGGAAGCCCCATGCCCCCACGCTAGCTGATTGCTTTGCTGCCGGCCGGGAACCCAGCTGAGATGGGGCTGGATTTGGTCGGCTTCAGCTCTCGGGTGCTGCCAACCAGCGTCGGGTACGCCGCGGACCGGCGCCACGCCCGTGGCGGAGCCGCCGCATCCCACGGCTTCCTCGCCTGGAGGAGCCATCCGAGGGCAGCTCTGAAGGACGGCGCGGTTTGCTCTTCGGAGGGCGGCGGCGGCGGCGGGGCGGAGTCCACGCTGTGCGTGTCCGCTCCGTCTGAAGATGCCAGCCGCACCGGTGGAGCGGCAGCGGATCTTGGCCGGGACATCGCGGACGGCATCACCGCCAGCCAGGCGAGTTCCGCGGGGAGGAGGAAAGTGGGGAGGTCATGGAGGAGGCCGCCGGGCGGAGACAAGCCGGCGAGGGCTCCCAGGCGCGCCCCCGTGAGAAAGGATCCACAGGTTCGCAGAGTTCTAGTGAACGATCCCGATGTGAATGCGATTCTGTCCGGCGTCAGCCGGGAGTCCAGCATCGAGGAGTGCAACTCCGTTCTGATCCGCCTGGAGAAGCACAGCGATGTGAAGGCCCTCGACTTCTTCGTGTGGATGAAGGCCAACGGGAAGCTCGAGGGGAACGCCGACGCCTACCGGCTGGCTCTCCAGGCCACCTCCTGGAAGGAGGACTGGAGGAGGGCCGAGCTGCTGCTCCACGAGATGGTCGTCGTCTCGGGTTGCCGGCTCGACGCCCAGGCGTTCAATGGGCTGATGTATGTCTGTGCCAAGAGGAGGCTTGCTGATTGGGGAACCAAGTGGTTTCATATGATGTTGGAGAGGGAGGTGCAGCCGAATGTGTCCACATTTGGTATGCTCATGGGCCTTTACCAGAAGACTGGGAGCCTCAAGGAGGCCGAATTCGCTTTCGCGAAAATGAGGGAGTGCAATGTCAACTGTGTCAATGCTTACTCGGCTATGATCACTCTGTACACGCGTTCGCGCCTTTTCGATAAGTCTGAGGAGGTTATCATTTTGATGAAAGATGATGGGGTTGCTCCAAACCTGGAGAATTGGTTAGTGCAGCTGAATGCTTACAGTCAGCAGGGCAAAATGGAAGAAGCAGAGTTGGTGTTGCAGTCCATGGAAGATGGTGGTGTTTCCCCAAATGTTGTGGCGTACAATACTGTGATTACAGGGTATGGAAAGGTTTCTGACATGCAGAAGGCGAAGGAAGTGTTCCACAGACTTGAGAGTTCAGGTTTAGCTCCTGATGAAACAACTTATAGATCAATGATAGAAGGTTTTGGCAGAGCAGATAAACACCAAGAGGCAATTTCGTATTACAAGAAGCTCAAGAGTTCCGGTTTTCAACCAAACGCGTCCAATTTTTACACAATGATTAACTTAATAGCAAGACATGATGACAGTGAAAGCGCGGCTGAAATTCTTAGGGACATGAGGGCAGCAGATTGCCAGTGTTCATCTATTGTTACTATTCTTGTCCGGGCATACGCAACAGTCGGGAGGATGCATAAGGTTCTACCAATTCTGCGATCATGCTTCTACAAGAAGGTTTTGTATGATGCTACCTCATGCTCTATTTTAGTAACAGCGTTTGTTCAGAATTCTTTATTAGAAGAAGCTCTTTGTGTATTGCGTGAAAAGAAGTGGAAAGGTTCTGATTTCGAAGACAATCTGTATCATATCTTGATATGTTCCTGCAAAGAGGCTGGCAGTTATGAAGCTGCTGTAAGGATATACAGCCAGATGCCAGAGTCCCGAACTCGTCCAAATCTCCGCATTTGCTGCACTATGATTGATGTTTTCAGCACCATGGAGAGATTTACTCATGCTGAAACTTTGTACCTTGAGCTGAAGGCTTCAGCTTGTGCTCTTGACATGATTGCTTATAGTGTAATTGTGAGGATGTATAATAAAGCTGGGAGACCAGAAGATGTTTGCTCAGTTCTGGAAGATATGGATAAACAAAAGGAAATAGTTCCTGATAAATACCTTTTTCTTGACATGCTTCGGACTTACCAGAAATGCGGCCTGCTCGAGAAGTTGACTGATACATATTATCGGATACTCAAGAGCGAGGTTGAATGCGATGAAGCCATGTATAACTGCATTATTAACTGCTGTGGCCCAGCGATACCAGTCGACGAGCTCTCGAGAATTTTCGACGAAATGATTCAACTAGGACACCTGGCCAGCACTGTCACCCTGAATGTGTTGCTAGATATATATGGAAAAGCTGGGCTTTTTAACAGGGCTGAGAAGGTGTTTAGCATGGCCCGGAAGCAAGGACTGGCAGATACCATATCATACAACACTATCATCGCGGCGTACGCGCAGAGCGGGAATTTCCGCAGCATGAATTACTTCGTCCAAAAGATGCAGGACGCGGGGTTTCCGGTTTCTCTCGAGGCGTACAACTGCATGCTGAATGCTTATGGGAAGTCAGGCCAGCTGGAGGAGTTCTCTGCTGTTCTGCAGAAAATGAGGAGAGCTAGATGTGACTTCGACCACTACACTTACAACATTATGATGAACATATATGGGAGAAAGGGCTGGATCGAAGGCGTCGCCTACGTTCTTTCAGAACTAAAGAGCCGCGGCATTGAGCCAGACCTGTACAGTTACAACACATTGATAAAGGCTTACGGGATAGCGGGAATGCCCGAAGATGCTGTCAAGCTGATGCAGGAGATGAGGATCAAAGGTATCAATGCTGACCGAGTAACGTATACTAACCTCATAGCAGCTCTACAGAGGAATGAGAATTTCCTGGAGGCAGTCAAGTGGTCCCTCTGGATGAAGCAAACCGGAGTTGTAGGCGTCGGAGCTCGCCCATAATGTGCCCTGAGCATTCAGGGTTTGGTTGCACATAATACTGCGAAAACACTTGCCATTGTTCTCTTGTATCGGGTACATACATATATTGATATATAGTGCCATTTGTATAGAGCAGCATAGCTGATTGCCTGATTGTAAATCTGCCATTAGTGCCATGGCAAGGGGTTGAAAAGTTGTGATGATGGATGAAAGAAAGTCAAAAAGAAATCCAATTCGGATGTGTTTGTGCTTCTCCTGTTATTCAGAAAGTCTCATGTGGTTTCTCCCGCCTCTGCCTTTATTTGGGCAGAAATTTGCCTGAATTTTTGCATATTTTGTTTTAGAACAGGGGATCTGCTAGATGAGCAAACATCATTTCCCTAAAAAAATTAAAGGAAATGGGACAGGGAGATTTTTTTTCTCAAACGGGATAGGGTGAAAATTTGGAGCTTTAAGATAGGGGATCTCCTTAGACCCAACAGCTCATGAAGCATCAAGTAGTTCATGAACCAAGCATTCGGAACACATGAGTGTTCTAGACTCTGTTATTTCTACCGGCTGGCAGCAGTTTTGGCCACTAGAGTACTTTTGTAGAAGTAGTTAATCATCCAATCTTTGACCTTGAATTTAATTTTCCAGTTTGGATAGTTACCAGTTACACTTCCCCTGCTCAAGTGCTCAGCTGAGCTGAGCTGAGCTGAGCTTCACCCAACGCCACCACTTCCTCGGTCCGAGCCTCCAAGATCACGTCTTCACCACTCCCTCGCCATAAAGAAACCCGAATGCCGAGCTCCTCTCCATTACTCAACTCCATCTCCACGTGACGCGAGCGCGCGGCTCCATGCCCGCCCCCTAGCCCGCGCCGCGACCCCCCGTCGAGCTCCTCCGTCAAGGGATCCGGCGAGGACCGATGCTGGAGGAGGAGCGCGGTGCCATGGAGGCAGGCGGCGGCGGGTGGGCGGAGGCGGCGCTGGAGCCGGTGCGGTGGGTGCGGATGCTGTGCCGGGAGCTGGGCGCGACGTTCGTGGCCGGGGTGGTGCTGGTGTACGGCCTCAACCAGGGCTTCGCCGGCTCCTTCTTCCGGGTGGCGTCCGACTACTACTGGAAGGACGTGCAGCGGGTGCAGCCGGCCACCGTGCAGTTCCTCTCCATCTTCTTCCACGTCCCCTGGGTCCTCAAGCCCCTCTGGGGGGTCATGACCGACGTCCTCCCCGTCCAAGGCTACCGCCGCCGCCCCTACTTCGTCTTCTCAGGTCAGCCAAAGCCATGAATGATGAATCCATCCACCTCTCCCAACTCATGGATGAGATCGACATTTGTATTAGCCTGTGTAGATAGACATTGTGACTTGCAGGTGTTGTTTCAGAGAGTATGGGCATAAGAGAACATGTTACTTTTCATATAGATTTGAGGATGCCAGATAGGGCATCTTGGTTTCCATCCTGGTCGCCGGAGCATACAGCATTTCCGTTGTACGAGTAGTGAGCAATGGCATGCTAATTGTGTTCTTGGTGGAGGGTCTTTTGAACACTGCTGTCGTCCTAACTGAAAACAAGTGCACGCCGACCACGTTTGAGGTCGAGAGCGGTTGGGCAGCTTATATGACAGAATTGTGGACGAAATTGTGTTAGCTCAACTGATTTTTCTTACTATTGCTGGCTTGATCTGAGTTAGTGGGTGCATGTTTTGGACCAAGCTGTTGATTTGCCCGCACTGTGGGGGCATAGACTAGACTGTTTGGTATATATCGCTGTCAGCATCTTAGTTAATTCATTGTGGCGGCATGGCTGTACATGGATTGCATTGTTTGTAGGCATATGCAAGTGTCTACAACTTGGGACACCTTGCAACTATTCATCTGTGCAATTTATCACATTTGATTATATTTATTATCCACTCGAAAGGATCGATTATACTACAACAGCCGATGATGCGGGTTAAAATGTCTGAGGACAAAACAACACAGGCTAGAAATTGTTACAGAAAATAGAAAAACTAGCACTAAATTTAGTGGTCCCTTGTTAAGTACTATCAACAAGAACCAATGGAAATATGCAACACATTATCTTTTTATACTAGATAAGAAAGTGTTGTAAACCATATGCTGAGAGATATGAGGAGCTCATGTAAGGCACTTCCACGCCAGAGATATTCGCGGTGTACTATGAAACTGTTAGTCTGACTGACTCTGACACAAGTCGAATAACCCGAAGTTGAATAGCTGTTATGATAATAAACTGGCAGAACTGGTGATTTCTGACTTTTCCACCAACTAATCTACATGCTTGATTAGATGTGCCGCATCTGTTATTGTTTCAAATTGCATAGAAGTATCGTAAGTCCTAACATTTCAATGCTCTTACAAGGGGTTGCTGTCCAGTAACCTCTGTTGTGTCCTTTACTTACAAGTGCTTATAAGCGTTCATCATTGATATTTGCCACAAGCCCACAATTATAGACGTGATTGAAAAATACGCTCTTTTTTGTGGTTGTAGGAATGCTTGGAATGTTTTCAACTGCCATTCTTGCCGGTGTCGGACTATCAGTGACTTCTGCAGTAGTTTGCTTCGTGGGAATCTCCACAGCAGTTGCCATTGCTGATGTTACAATAGATGCATGCATCGCAAAGAACAGTATTGACAAGCCAGCATTGGCCCCAGACATGCAGAGCCTTTGTGCATTCTCGTCGTCGCTAGGTGCACTTATTGGGTATGCTACAAGTGGCATGTTTGTCCACCATCTAGGGGCACAGGTAAACTACGGTCCAAATTCTTGAAGCTTATTTAATTGTTAGTTTCATTTTTTTCGGTAATGCTATCTGGCTGACGTTCCCTGGGAAGGGGATGGCAAATGAACGCTGTTTGCTCGCAGTTTTAGTTGTGACGCAAGATCAAACGATGGCAGTGTTTGCTTTCCTTCTTCCCAGAAACTGCCATGCTGTTCTGAAGAAACTGCTAACCCCCACACAACTAAAACTGCCATCTAACGTTCGCAAATACCACCCCCTCCCAGCAACGTTCGCCAGGTAAGAGGGTCCCATTTTTTATGCTGCTTGACTGAGAAACTAAATTTTGCATGCATTCTGATTTAATGTAGGGTGCATTAGGTGTGATGGCTTTACCTCCTACTATGTTGGTTTTCCTAGGATTTTACATATATGAGCTGAAAATGTATCAGCATAACATGAAAGAGAAGGTACATTGATCAGCAATCTTATTCCACCTACTGCTTCTTTTGCTCCAAACTCATTAAATTTGTTTCTTGATGTCTGTATGTGGTGAACAGGATAGTCTATCATTCTATCTAACATCATCCCATGTTAACTAGCTTGGCCAAGCTGGGTGCATTTATAGTTTTATACATTATTCTCCTGGAATTGTACCATATTAGCAAATTAAGTTAATATGAATCTGATGTTTAAGTGACTGGAAATCTTCAGGTATCTTGTTTGAAGAAAATTATACCTTTCTCAGATGAATTAAACTGAACCTAGACAGTAAACTGAGGAAAGTGTACTTGTAAACTTTTATAAGATCGTTAGAAAATAAGAATCTAACGATGGAAGGAACTGCACAACCTCCAAATTTTTCGCTTCTTACTGAAATGCTAATCAAATGCAGGTTTTGAACAAGGTTACTGTGGCAGTTAAAGGGATGGTTCAGACAATAAAGTATCCAGTAGTGTGGAAACCATCTCTTTACATGTTCCTTTCGCTGGCCCTCAGTATCAGCACTCATGAGGGGCAGTTCTACTGGTACACTAACAAGGAACCGCCTAATCCTGGATTTTCACAGGTAGAGCTTTTGTTTATGACCTGCTTAATGCTATTGCTTACTGCTAGGCTTGTTACACAAAACAAAGGAAGTCTTGATAAAATATTATCTGCACCTTAGTGGCTTGGCCCACCGGATCGCCACTCTGCATGAGCCATATATACATACTGCAGGTCCCTTTGGGGACATCAAATAAAATTTGAACAATACAGAGAAGATTAGCATGCCCCTGCGCAAAGTTATAAATTCTGTATAATGTTTCAGATAATTAACTTTGCAATCAATATTAGATAAAAAATTTCTTCAGTGCATGCATGTTTGTAGCTCCTGCAGTCTAAAATTCCTTCTTAACTTTCTTCAGAATATGGTTACCTAAAAGTCAGTCTGTCAATATTTTCCAAAATTTTAGGTTGATGGAGGAAGTAGCTTAGTCATACATTATCTGAGAAGTTATCTTACTCATCTAGGTAAAGCAGGTGCGTATTGACTTTTGGAAAATTAATGAAATACCAATGGGATTTGATTTGTCTTTTGTCACACTGGTGTTGATTGGATCACAACACAATATGGCCCTGGAATTTAAAATATTTCCGCCCCAATAATATTTTTACAAAAAATATAACATGCAACTATAAATTCCTTGCTTAGCATCTTCCATCTCATGAGGCTTTTTTTTCCAATGAATGAATTTAAAATCACTTCTTATCTTTTATCACCATTTTTTTAAGATAAATATCGCCACTGTTTTCTATCCAAAGGATATAAATAAAACACTAGAAGTGCCTGAGCGGCAAAACTACGAAAAGGTTGAAAGAAAATAGAGAAGACTGAGATCTTGCGCGTCAATCACTCTCAGACAACTGAATATAACACAATCAAGATCTATCAGAAAGGCGAGCTAGATAAGAAGGTGCCTACTTTCAAATCTTGGAATCTAGGATGCAGCCATGCATTTCCTGATCCCACAATCTTGCTTGTTCCACAATGATGTCCCCAATGTCCCAAAAAGATTCCTTACTAAGATAAAGTGCATCATTCCAACAACCAAAAATATCTTTCAGCTCTTAAACGGTAGCGCATAGTCTCCATGTTCGAGCATTGCCTCTAATAATGTAGTGTAGTAAACTTTACGGGGCATGCATGTTTGGAACGCTGGAGTTTCAGAGTAAGCAGTTGAATTACAGAAACCAGTCGTTCCAAACTGGGCTAAAGGTTTTGTGATTTAACACAACTGAAAAAAATGACGGCACATTGAGTTTTAGAGTGAACTGTCGAGAGTGTTGATCAGCTGGCCTTCATCTCCATGCATGCAGCAATTTGTGGGGATGGTGCACGCCGTCGGCGCGGTGGCGTCCATGGTGGGCGTCCTGATCTACCACAAGAACCTCAAGGACTACCCGTTCCGGAGCATCCTCTTCTTCGCCCAGCTCCTGCACGGCGCCTCCGGCCTCCTCGACCTCACCTTCGTGCTCCGGTGGAACCTCGCGCTCGGCGTCCCGGACGCGGCCTTCGTCACCCTGGAGGAGTGCGTCTCCCGGGTCGTCGGCCGCGTCCGGCTGATGCCGATGATGGTGCTGAGCACCAAGCTCTGCCCGCCGGGCGCCGAGGGCACCTTCTTCGCGCTGCTCATGTGCATCGACAGCCTCGGCATGCTGGTGGCCAAGACCGGCGGCGCCTTCGTGCTCCGGGCCCTGCACGTGACGAGGACCGATTTCAGCAACCTCTGGCTCGCCGTCCTGCTGAGGAACCTGCTGAGGCTGTCCGCGCTGGGCGCCATCTTCCTGGTGCCCACCGCCGACCAGACCGACGTGCTGCTCCCGCAGGACCTCCTCAGCTCCGGCTCCCCGGTGGCTGCCGCCGGCGACGAGGAGGAGAGGTTGTTGCAGCTCGGGAAGCTCACTTCTCGCACTGACGACGATGTATGATCCACACAGGTACTGTGTTGCGCGACACACACGCACAAAGAAAGAAAGAAAGAAAGAAAGGAAAGGGAGGGAAATAGAAGTACTCTCTCCAATTCAAATTAATTGACGCAGTACAATTTTAGGAAGTACTCTCTCCGTTTCAAAATAGATGACCCAACTTTGTACTAATACTTATCCACTACAAAGAAAACAGTAGATTGGCTTTGATAGATGGCGCAATGCAGCTCCGATACCACTGCACAAAGTATTATGTTTCTTCTCAACATGGAACATCTTTTCGTGAAATATCAGTGCTCCAAAAATGCTAGTTTCAAAAACATTTTGGAGTACTGATATTTTTTTGCCACGATTTCCACGAATGTCATTTCATGCTTAAATTTTGTAGGCATACGTAACATTTGCCAAAGTTTACTAAAAAAATTAGAATTTGTTTACTTTTTTTTATTTTATTGTTCACAAAGATGCATTTGAGTTTGGGATCAGAATAGAACTTTCAACAATACATGATGAAATACAAAGGAATACAATATTATCTTTGGGCGTCCATCCACTCATAGGTAGAAGTTAACATCATAACCTAATTCGTAATCCTTACTTGTCCTATATAAATCCTGCAAAATGATACATTGTAGTCATAAGGGTCAATACATCAAGGACGTGTTTGGTTGCTGCATCGATTTTGGCTGCATTGCATGTGTTTCTCATATGGGCCTAGCGGGCTCACATATAGGTTAGCTGCATGAGGGGACTAAATTTGGCCCGCTGTTTGGTTGGCCGCATTGCATTAGGCGCATAGATGACATGTTGCTTGGTTGCAACCTGCATAAGGTGATGTCACCATTTCTCACTAGTGGTGACCTTACCACACACGATCTGAACAATTTCACTTCTAGCTACTGTAACATCCCAAAATTTGAAATTTTGGAATGTTATGTTAAATAAATAATTATGATTGTTTGTTTGTTTGTTGTGTGATTGATTGTGTGAAATTGAGTGGAAATTAAAACTTTTGAAAGTTGGATGAGAGGGAATAAAAGGACTTTCCCAAAACTTTCATCTTGCATTTTTTATCTCCATGAATTCAAATTCATCTCATCACAAAACCCTAGAGTGAAGATAATATGACTTTTTCCATTTAAAGAAATGAAAAGGGGTTTGAAAATGATTTGAATTCCATTTGAAATATTTCAAATTTAGAAAGTTTAAGAAACTCAATGAGTTCATAAAATGACTTCTTCAAATTTGAAGAAAGAGAGTTGTAAGTTTCAAAGAAATAATTTGGGAGTCACTTTGAAGTTATTTGAAACTCATTTTTCCTATTTGAAGTTGTTTGAATTTTCAAGTTTCAAATCCTCTGAAAACTATTCAAAATGAGAGAAGAAATATGACACTTCAAAATTCAGAGGGCATTCGAAATGTAACTTGGCCAAGGGAAAATAGAAAAAAAGAAATTGGTTTGAAATTCAAATTTCAAATCCAATTGGGAGTCATTTGGGTTTATATTCAAATTATTTGTCTCCTAAAAATAAATAAATGGAAACAAGGGTAAAATGATTCCCTTCAATAGAAAATTAGGAGAAAATAAATTTGAAATCATTTTGCTATTTAAAAAATAATTTTTATTGATTTTAAATGCAACAGTAGCACGGTTTGACTTTTATGAATTTTTATGGAATTTATTTGAACTTGAAAATAGTTCATCTTATTCTTGGTATTTTTCTAAACATTTTGGAATATAATATGCCTATGTATTTTTTCCTCTGTTGCAAATTTTCTTTCTATTAGAAAAACACACTGCATCGCCTAGACCATTATTCAATATAGCATACATGTCATCACCATAATTATCATATATAGGAACTTTGTAGTCACAATCAATTGCAACCTCCTCCAAAATAGTGGATTCATCATTAAATAAAGTCACGACCTCTCCAAATCCACTTTCATCAATATAATCATCATAAATAGGAGGCATGCAATCATCATAATAAATTTTCTCATCAAAACTTGGGGGACTAAAAATATCATATTCATCAAATATAGCATCCCCAAGCTTATGGCTTTGCATATCATTAGCATCATGAATATTCAAAGAATTCATACTAACAACATTACAATCATACTCGTCATTCAAATATTTTGTGCCAAACATTTTATTGACTTCTTCTTCTAACAATTGAGCACAACTTTCCGACCCATCATTTTCAAGAAAGATATTATAAAGATGATCAATAATATGATGTAACCTAAATTTCATTTTTTATGTAGTTTTTTTTATAAACCAAACTAGTGATAAAACAAGAAACTAAAAGATTCAATTGCAAGATCTAAAGATATATCTTCAAGCACTCACCTCTCCGACAACGGCGCCAGAAAAGAGCTTGATGTCTACTACGCAACTTTATTCTTGTAGACACGTGTTAGGCCTCCAAGCGCAGAGTTTTATAGGATAGTAGCAATTTTCCCTCAAGTGGATGACCTAACCTTTATCAATCCGTGAGAGGTGTAGGATGAAGATGGTCTCTCTCAAACGACCCTGCAAACAAATACAAGCAATCTCTTGTGTCCCCAACACTACAAAAAAATACACTTCCGTGATGATACGTGTTTGTCATAATAGGTCGCTTTTTTTGTCATGCATGTACATCCATGACAAATTTATGACAGAATCAAGATAGTCATACATGTGCTGTCGTAGAAGTGTTCCATGACATTACCAAAATTATCATCACGGAAGTGTCCACTTCCATGACGATAAATCGCGCGTCACAGAAGTGCTTTCGTCAAGGGTGACCGACACGTGGCATCCACCGTAACGGAACACCGTTAAGCTATTGGGTCGAGTTTTGGATCCGATAACCCGTTAATAGCCCCGACCAATGGGGATTTTCCACGTGTAAAATCATCATTGACTGGAGGAAACACGTGTTGGCTCATCGTTGGGACAGATGTCAACCACTCATTGGACAGAAGGCGTCTATGATATGTCGACACGTGGAACGGCCCAACAGAGGCCCATTCCTGTGAAAAGGCCGGCCCGTTTGACTTGGTCAAAAGCTGGCGGACCGGCCCATGGAAAGCTTGTTAATGGCTTGTTCAAATATAGCCCATTTACAGCCCGCTAACCCAAGGCCTGTTACGCTCTATCCGAATTAGGCCTAGTAGCATCATCTGGACCATCCAATATGATTCCAGCCCGTTTCCACTTCTGGCCCATGTATGGCCCATGATGTCTTTCGGCCCATATGAGGCCCTATGTAACTCTTGGCCTACTAACGACCCGTGGTGAAACTAGCCCGTAATGAATAGTGTATCACTTTACACCCATTAACAGCCCGTGGTGAAACTGGCCCGTAATGAACAGTGTATCACTTTATACCCATTAACGACCCATTATTCCGTTGGGCCGTTTCCAGCCCATGTTATCTTTCGGCCTTCTCAGAGCCCATTTATTCTTGGGCTCATTTCCAGCATTCGTTTACTTACGGCCCGTTACTGTCATTTTCTGCTTGTGGGCCAAATTCAGCCTGTGATTACAGTTGGCCCGTTTGTGGTCCGTTAATACGTTGGGCCGATTTGATAGTGTCATCAAATACGGCCTATTAACGATGGTCCGTTATGGTCGGCCCATGAACGGGCGATTCCAACTCTAACCCGTTTACGGCCATAATGCGGTCTGTTTGGCCCATGTTTGGCCAATCGATTATACGGCCCGTATAAGGCCCATTGATAATACGGCCCGCAGAAGGCCCATTGTTTCTACGGCCCGTAGAAGACCCACTGTTTCTACGGCCAGTAGGAGGCCTAGTGTCACTACAGTAAATATTAGCCCATGGTTATTGTGGCCTAGTTTTAAAAAATAGGTTATTGCAGCCACTAGCTAACCGCGGAAAAAGAACTGCAATGACTACAAGCAAACAAATAAACAGGACAACAACGAAATAAATAAGCAAGCAACTAACGCTAGGCTATCACGGCTATTACACATATTACATCCACTGGGCATCAAAGTTCGCCACCAGTGCAAATATAGGGAACAAAGCAGCATATCATATACACTGGTTGTCAAAGTTGGCGACCAGCGCAAATAAACGCCGCAGCAAAACAAATCCAGAACTGAAACCACTTCAGAAGATCTCAAGAAACAATATCCTGGGTACCCATAATGCTGGCAAGATGCTTAGCAAGCTTATTAACTTTCTCTTGTTTGGCGCTTAAATCCTCCAGCCCTTGCTGTTGCACCAGAAAATATGCATCTGAATTCTGCAGGGACTTCCTCAGTCCTTCAGCTTCCTGTCGCAGCACATCTGATCGATGTCTTTCAACTTGAAGTTGAGACTCAAGAAGACGAATTGATTCAGGCAGCGAGTTCGAAGAGTTTGTGCCAGCAGTAGTGGCCAGTAACTCGAACACTACATCAAGACAGGACTTTTGGGTTCCCTCACTGTCGTCAAGATAGTTTTTATCAGCTTTCTTGGAGACCAACAGGGATGTCTCACTATCTTGAACCTTATATGCATTACTTCCTTTACCATTGGATAACGCGGTACTGTTCTCCAATATTTTGTCCGCATTCTAAAAGAGAAACAAGCAGACACATCACATGTTTACCATGTTGTATATGAAACTCATTTTGGTAAATGAGTTCAGCAGTAAAGTGAACCCTCATACTCCTCTCCGCCTGGGCATCCACTGCCGCGTCTTCACCGGCTCCGCGTCGTCCCCTTCCTAGGCCTCATCATCGTCCACCGCCCTGGTGCTCTCGGCGCGGCGTGGTCAACATGGAAGGAACGACTTCCATCGGACGTGGACTGTACGTGGAGAGGCTGACAGCTGGGTCCATGGCGGCAGCAAGGAAGTGCCTCCTTATTATGCGGAAAATAATGATTCCTCCACCTGACAGCAGGGACCCACCGGACGGGCCACCAGTATTTTGTGAAAAAAATCATTTCCCCCTGACTGCTGGGACCCACCGGACGGGCCACCGTATTTTGCGAAAA